GTACAAGATAAAGTGAATTAAAGGAAAAAGCTACAATCATTACCATAAAACAACTTTGCAAGCAACACTACACCCAAACCTGGCTAAAACTATTTCACAACGTAAAAAATTCACGAAGTCTGCAAAAAGCAGCCTTGACTATCTAATGTCTAAGATATAAACATCATACAACATAATAGACTGATCGTCTTTATTCTTCACCAAATATTAAGGAGATAGAAGTTTACATGGAAGGCGTCAATAATATTTGTACGCGGCTACACACACAACAATTCTCGGTCGGCAGCCATGCGGGGAGCAGAAGTTGCAATCATAAATGTTTTGATTGCCGTTTTTATCGGATCCAAGATTTGTTACTAGAAGATTTTTATATCTTGAATTTAGTTATGATGTCCATTGTATGAAAGTTCTAGCTCTATGTTTCATATTACGTCAGATAGTCTTTTGCTGGAGTGCCCGAGCCAAGTTAAAGATCTTGGTGTGCATTCATAAAGTAATGATTTTTCTTTTGTTGATGATTTAATGCTGTTGAAAAGTTCCATTTCGTCGCATTTTGAACTGCCAAATTCCCTGCGGCGCCGCTCTTAGAAAATCAACTTCATACATTTACAACATGATCATTGCGTTATGTCCCAGATTCACTCCGTGACCTTTGTCTTAGATTCTCATGCAAGCTTATACTGTTTCTCAGCTGTACATTTCCTTACTAACGTTTCAAAAGTTTGCGCTTACTAAAAGTTTGGAAAAAAATGTCATAAAGTAGTTTTGGCGGCTTGAGGAAGGTGGCAGAAGCTTTACTCAGCAAAATTTGTTGCTGTTCCATTTTTTTGCTGGGGCTTTCTGCTTATCAATTTGGTAGGAAAGCAGTTATCTTTTTGTTGCTATTGTCACAGCAGTTTCTATCTTGTACTACTTTCGGACATTTTCTTAATTTTGATGAGTTTATTCCGTTTTTCACTTAGTGACTTATAGCAGCATTGCTCGGCTAACACTATGGAAGGTACCGGCTATGATGACCTAGACGATCTCCCTCTAATTCGGCCTACTGTACCAGATGCTGCGATTGAAGGTAACAAGACTATCAGCTCCTTGCTCCTAATGAGGGTTTCATGATCATTTCCAGAGCGGATAACTCGAAAGAAGGTTTTTGTTGTTGCCATACTTCTTTGCGTAAATCTTCTAAATTATATGGATCGTTTCACCATTGCTGGAGTCCTCGGTAGACTGCAGGATTATTTTCACATGAATGACAAGGAAGCTGGCGTTCTGCAGGTTGAATTAAATAATCCATTCTAATTCTACCAAGTTTGCTTTTCATTACAATTGAAGTCCTTCAATTTCAGACTGTTTTTATCGTCTTTTTCATGGTTTTTGCCCCAATTTGTGGTTATCTTGGTGATCGGTACAACCGAAAAATGATAATGATTGTTGGTCTGGCAATCTGGATTGTTGGAGTTACGTTGTCGACTTTTGTTGGACGGGAGGTTTGC